TGGGAGTCTCTCTCTCTCTCTCTCTCTCTCTCTCTCTCTCTCTCTCTCTCTCATTTCCTCCCTGCCTTGCCAGCACCAGAAGCGAAGCCAGTGAGTTTTGCGAGCCGCTCCATCTTGGAACTTTTCCGACCTCATGCAGACTGTCACACTGAAAAAGACAGCTGTGTTGGATTTACTGAACCAAGTTAAGTCAAGTGGTTCTGTTGACATAACTTGGTTGTGTAATTCCATCACTTTTTAGTCTTTTTTAGTCTAATTGACTGTTCAGTTCATGTCCATTTCTAACTAAAAGTGTAGTGTCAGAGGAGACATCCAGATCAGTGCCCTGCAGGGGCCAGTTGGCAGGAAGTGGAGTTTTGATAAACTCTTTCAGCGGATAACACTCTGTCTGCTTCCCGGCTTTCTCCCGTTTGGGAAAGTCAGCCTTTCTCTGAGTCTGTCCTCCTATCACTGTGGTTCACTTGATTATGGTGTTGGTCTGTAGCTCCGGGGCTTGGCATCCACATTAAACTCATTTGCCCTCAGTAACATGTCTGCAGAAATCAGAGCACCCATTTGCTTTGGTGCTGCTGTTTGTGTAACTTTATACGAGGCAAAAAAAAAAGAAGACAACACATTATCGCCCACTGGGTGATAATATGGTAGAGCAATAATGCTTTTGCCCATGTTTGAGTTTGTGTATCTGTATTGGTAGCAAAATATCTTATGATAAACGTGTCACTGGATTGACTTCTACAACTGATTATCTTCAGAAAATCTAATTAACTTGGTCCCCAAAGCCAACCGTAGTTAGAAAACATAAAAATGGGATTAACTCATCTTCAACTGTTTTCATCCTTCAGCTTTTCTCCTTCTTCACATCATTTGTTTKATTTCACATGAAAATCTCAGTCTGAGTGAGAAATTTTCGGCTGCCCTTTTTTTTATTTTAATCAACTAAAACCTCCCTCAAGTCCAACAACAAACACAGGAAGCTGCTGTTTCTGTGTAGCACACTCAGTACACCAAACAAATAAAGCTTGACCCTTTTTTTTTCTTTTTTTTCTTTTTCTTTTTTCGGTCAACCACTTACAAACTGATCGGAGCTCGACACGATTCAAAACATCTGTCGCATGTGGAGGGATGTCCCTTTAACAATTTGTCACAAACGTAATGATGGATAGCCTTTAACCCTGACAGATTTTGAAAATCTCCCCATTTGAATCGCAGTAGAGGCAGTTTGAAGGATTTAACTACAAAGTAAAAAAAGAAAAAAWTTTGATTTTTGCAGAAACCAGAAGCTCGTTTTTGTGAAAAAGCTTCGGCCCAAGTGAGGCACTAAAGTGTGAATGCGAACGTGCAGTTTCTTAGACATTTATGTGCTTTTTACAAAATGACTGTACAATTATAGAGACTGGAGACTGCACCACAGGCACAAGGCTCAAGCTGAAAGCTAACATGTTATTACAAGCCCCAGGCACACAGAGTGAAAAGACTRAATGTGTCTCTTCATCACATAATATATTCAAACTGCATGTGCTGCTGCGTTCTCATAACATTGTTCGCTTTGTCATCTGCTTTTCTCCTAAAAGCATGACTTCATTCATTGTTTTTCTCGTTCATCGCAAGTTTGTGGCTCAAACATCAGCAGGCGAACTTCTGTTCTCTATTTAGAGCTGCAGAAATAGCATCATTCCCCCGATAGTCAGATAATGCAGCATTTGTAAATGACGATGTCACAYGCAAAACATTGCTCAACAATTAATMTTTTCTTTTTGTCACTCTGACCAATTTCCTGCAAAATGAGTGTTGCCTTTCTTTAATTRTGTTTGCACATCTAACCTCCAACAGCACTTGTCCCCCGAGCTCATGAGTAAAAAAAAAAAGTCCCTGACATAAGTTCACAAGACAAAAACTCAAACCCTTAATGAAAAAAGGCAAAAGCTCACAGATTGTGAACTTTTTATAGCCACACATTGCATGACAGAAATAGCACATAAGATTTATGTCACAAATTATTATCATACATCATACACACATCAATATAAAAATGTTAACACATTGTATGAGATTAAAAATAGTCTTTGAGATTTTTTATCCCAAACTGCAAGACACACATCAGACAAGTCAAGTGCAGCACCCCACTGTGAGGAGGAAGTCCTATAGAGTTTTACATTCAACTATTAAGTCCTGGCACAGGTTTTTGGGGCCCCACCTGACTGAATCATTTGTGGTTTGAAATTATCTGCCCTTTATTAGGTGATGTACTTAAGTGAACACTGTTAATAACTGATCAAAGAGTTGTAGTAACTGCTTGTTCAAGTAAGCAAAAAAATGGGTTAAAAAAGTTAAGGTGTGGAGGGTTATAAGGTGTGAACAACTCACAGTTAGGAATGTGGGAGCCACTCTGAGGTGTCAAAAAGATCATTTGAAGTTTCAAAAATCGAATAAAATTGTCGTTTTTTTTTTTTCAATAATGCTGAGCTTTCGTAAGAAAATGTTTTGGTTTATTTTTTTTATTTTTTAATGGAACTAATGCTTTTATGTTTAAGCTAGTAATTCATGACATCCTTTAATGACCTAGGTTTTCATGATATGCTGTTCATCTGTAGACAGAATGATTAAAGTCAGAACAAGCTTTGCTAACAACAGTCATTCTTAGATATCACTTGTGTTTATCYTTGTGTTTTCCATTGACCTTGTATCAAATCTTGCTAAGATGACATAATGGTGTTTGTTAATATAT